TAAATAAATTAGTCTGATTTTCTAATACAATACACTGATCAAAATCTTTCTTAATATGATATATATGAAATTAAATCTAATAACTTTTGTAAATCATTTTTATAAGCTTTGATATAGTTTTTATCTTTTTTTAAATTTTATAAGATTTGTAATAAGATTTTAATATAATTTGCTAAATTACTATTTACCATTTAGATAACTTGTAAAACCTCTAAATTTTATTTAGTATTATTATTGCTAATTATATTATAAATTTCTTTATTATTATTTTTTATTTAATTAAAAATTAGAAAAAGTTTTAATTTGCTATATTAACAATAATAAAAATAAAAAAAATATATTTTACTTTTAAAATGTTTAATATAAGTAATTTAAATTTATAAATTAAATTATATAAAGTAAAAGAGATTTAATAAATATTTTATTATATATTTTATTATTACTATTATAGTTAATACTATTACTATTACCATTATTATTACTATAAAGTCAATTGTAATAACTATTTTATTATAAATTTATTATTAATAGCTTTATATTATATTAGAAATTAAATGATTAACATTCTAAATAATAAAAATTATAACATTAAAGCTAATAGTAGTTAATTTAACTAAAAAGAACAACTTGTGAATTAAAATTACTATATAAATAAAGACAAAATTATTATCATTTGAATAATTATTAAAATTATTAATTTATTTAAAAATACTTACAGCTGAATAAATTAATTAGCAATTTGGATAAATAAGAATAATCAATATATATTACATTGTAAAAAAAAAAAAAAATGGTTTATAATTAATATAAATATATATAATAAAAAAAACAAATTCGTAGAAAAATCAGGTAATTAATTACTAAATAAAATAGACCTGTCACATGACTAATAAGATCTTATAAATTATTTAGCCGAAACTCCAATATTTTGCTTTGTTTTGAACAAGCTTATGATAAGTTTAACCAAGGTTGCTATCTGAATTTTGCTAAATTTTACCTTTTTTACTATTTAGACAACTTGCTAAACCTTTAGGTTTTGTCCAGTAACCTTACATGTAACAAAATAGTTTAGATAGCCATCGATAATGTGAATTTTAAAACGTCTAAATGTCTGAAATGAATACAACTTTTGAAGTAAGAGTTTTAAACAAGTAAAAAAATTTTCTTAAATCAGTAAATGATAAAATTATCTTCAAAATTCGAAGCTTTGGATTGCTGTTTTTCATAATTAATTTTAGGCAGCTCTTTTTACATGGTATAATAATCTAACAAGTAAACTAATTTTCTTGCTCTACATTGTAAAGGGACGTAAATTAATAGCAATCCAGAATCATTTTGGTTGTAATTTGTATAAGGTTTAGAACGATATTAATTCAACATATTTTGTTTTGAAATATCGGTAGTGTAAAGTTTCGGTTTTGATTTTTTTTTTTTTTGTTATTAACATCTAGAATACATTTATTTTGATTTGTTAATTTTTGCCAAACATGAGAAATCAGGTTTATTTATTTGTTAGAGTTTCAAAAACTTTAAATATTATCGAAAAAATTTTCGAAACGTATCATATTTATATTGTTCAATCTAAACAAAAACTATTTAACAAGAGCGACCAATCAATCAAAACCCTCTTTTTATCGAAGATCCTATGATCAATCCGTCGATCCGTTCTAAAAAAAAAAGAAAAGATCGGTCAACCTTATTTCGGAAAAATTATAACTTAACAACCTAATTGAAAACGAGAAGGAAGAAGAATAATGTAATTAACAATAAAAGGTTCGACAACTGTTTAAATATTTATTAATAAAATAAACTCGTAAAAATTTGTTACAACTACATGTCTAAATTAATCGCATTAAACGGAGTTCGATTCGTTTTATAATTTAAAATTTTAAAGACCGTACATCATATCACGCAATTATGCGTATTACTTATGTACAAGCAAAAAAAAAAAAAAGTATTACAATAATATAATTACAATGAATCTCTATATAAATTTATTTTTTTCTTCCAAACGTATAACTTAAAAACTTCTAATGATTTGAATCGCCAAAGTATTGATTATTTGATTGCATAATAGATCCAGAACTTTTATCATGATTAATAGAAATAGCGTTAGTATTCATATTCGAGTTTTGTAAGTGGACCATATTAGCAACACGGTCAACATGATAATAAGCTAATTCACCCAATTCAGCTTCATCAATGCCAAGGTGTTCAGAATCTGGATCAATTCTAAGACTTAAACCGGGAACTTTATCCATCAGGAACAAAATAATATAGGTAATACAAAAACTATAAGCCAAACCAGCACAGGAGTCAGCAAGTTGATAAAGCACTTGCACCCAATTTCCATCTAACCAACCGCCTTTAATTACTTCGTCACTTAAAGCCGCAACTTCTTTTTGTGCGAATATACCTAAATTAAGAATATTTATTATTAATTTGCAACAAAAAAAAAAAATTTAGGAAAACCAAGTTTGAAAATTTTTGATTTACTTACCAGTTAGTAAATTTCCACATATACCACCGACTCCATGAACAGCAAAAACATCCAATGCGTCATCAAAGTCCAACAAATGTTTCAACTTAACGGCCAAATTACAAAATGTTCCACCAACAATTCCAAATGCAATAGCTGATTGCGGTTTGATATATCCACTTCCTGGAGTTACGCAGACTAATCCTGCTATAGCTCCCGAGCAAAATCCTAAAGCTGATAGTTTCTTTTCTAATCTATAATCTAGCAACATCCATGTTATTCCACCCACGGATGCCGCTAAATTGCTAGAAGTAATTGCCATTACAGATCTTAAATTAGCTGAATAAGCGGACCCTCCATTAAATCCAAACCACCCAAACCATAACATTGCAGTACCTAATACAACATTGGCTACATTATGTGGTTTAAATTCATCAGTACCGTGTCCATGCCTTTTTCCTAGCACAATACAATATGCTAACGCTGCTGCGCCAGATGTTATATGTACTGGCGTACCTCCTGCGAAATCCAAGCCACCTAATTGTGCATACCACCCATTCAATGACCAAGACCATGATGCAATAACATCGTAGACTAGCGTTGTCCATATAAATATAAATATCAACATTGGAACTACTCTTGCTCTTTCGGCTGCTGCGCCAATTGCTAATGCTGGCGTAACTGCTGCGAACATTCCTTGATAAATTGCATGTACGGTATCCGGGATTCTCGGATTTGCGAAAGAAGGATCGCCTTTAAGATTTATGAAAAACGCATGATCTACGTTTCCTATAAAGCTACCTCCTTTCGTACTAAATGTTAGAGAGTACCCTATTACAAACCACTAAAAGAGAAAGTATACCGTGTTAGTTGGATACATTATACCAATATTAATGCATACGGCGACATGAAATTCTTACCTGTACGGAAACCACGGCAACGCAAAGAACGCAAAGTAAAATAAGAGAAAGTGCATTTTTACTTCTTGCCATGCCACTATAAAAATAACCTATGCCAGGAACCTTTTTTTAAGATCAAAAAGAAAAAAAATTAATTAGCGTAATACTTTATAAAATTTCGAACAAAGTTTTCGAATGTATATAAAAAAAAACGTGAAATTTTACCATAAGCCACACTTGCGCAGTACAAATTAACATCCATGCTATATCTCCCGGATAATATCGATTGTCTACTAATGTAGCCGGTTCGGCCATTTTTCATTAATGAATGGGAGAATTATGTATTTAAATATTATAATAAAATTATTTCGGTGCTTCTACAATACAATTTTCAAAAGATAATTAATAAGTTAGCTTTTGATATTGATAATTTTGTATAAAAAAAAGGAGAAAGAAAAAACGAGTTTATGAATAAATGTTTACCTTAAAGTGAATATCCTTATTTTTTTTATTTTTTTTTTTTTTTTTAAAAAAAAAAATTTGACTGTATATATAAATATATTTTGAAGAATTTCTCTTCTTTTTGTGTAAGCAACATGCATCATTGAAATATAAACAAACAAATGAATGAGAAAATAAGGTAACGATTGTATTTTCCGATTAAAGGTAAGTGAAACTATTTCAATGGAAATTGGCAGCTTTTAAATAACATTGTGAAATTAAAGAAGATTATTTCTTTAACGCTTTCCCTTGTCAATAATTCAATCATGATTTGTCTTTGAGAAGCAGTTAAATTCCGAATTCAAAATATTTCGCATGTTCTAGGTCTCATGCTTGAACACCACATAACATTGAACACATGATTTACCCATGAGTACTTTCCTAAAAAAATAATGATTTATTTAAAACAGTTTACTAATAGATTTCTCATGAGCGATAAGATTTGGAGATATAACCAATCAAGAGAAATAAAAATTATTGTTGAAAAGAAACTGTTTCGCATAATATAAATAAACAAAAACAAAAAGTGTAAACGTGGAATAATTCGAAATTTTCTTTATACATATAAACTGTTATTCGGATTATTCCTATCTCATTCTTTAAGTAATAAACCAATTCCTGTTACCTGGGTTAAAGAAAGTAGTAAGATCGTTAATATTATTATCGGGGTTTACCGTTAGTTACAATAAAGGAAATTAATTCGATATCTATAACGAATCGTTTTTGGAGGTATTTTGCTAATTTAATGATTTAATATAAATTGTTATAGGAGTAACATAAACATTGACGCATTGGTTACATCAACCAATCTTTGTTCGTTAATTTCAAAATTTGGGATCCGTGAACAGGTTATGTAATTTATAAATAGATACCAACATGGCAACACAAATAATGAAAGATTAAAATAAACAATGATTTTATTATCCATCTATTTAACTTACAAATTTTTACTTATTTTTTTTTTATTACGTAATTTCGTTACTTATTGATCTAATTCCTCAATTATAAGTTACTTTCTAAATTTTAAAAAATATTATATTATTTGATTTAATCTTATATAATATTATGAGTATTAATGAATGCTAAATTCAAAATCTGTGATTTAATTCATTTGATAATGAAAATAAAATATTTATATTAGATTAGCAAAATATTAATCCACTTAATAATTAAGAATAATATACATTATATAACTCTACTTCTATTTAATAATATATACATATTTTGGATTGCAATAACATAATAATGTTAATTGATACTATATATTTTATTTATAATAATTAAATAATTTAAGAATTTGCTAATTTGCTACTATATATGGGAAGTTTGCTAGAAAAATCAGGCTCTAGAAATTTTTTAACTAAAATTAAAATCTTTTACATTTTAATCTAAATAATATCAAAATCTAAAATGCAATAATAATCAAAATTTTATCAAAATTCCTAGAGTCTGATTTTCCTAGCAAACTTCCTATATTTTTTTTTAATAATTAAATAGATTAAAATAGATATATTACTAATTAGCTATATTAATTATAGAATAAATGATTAGATAATAATAGGTTGTGTAGTGATCCATTTTCATTAAATCAATATAATCAATATATTTTACATCTAAAATATTACTTATTATACTTTTTTTTAAAATAAATAAATAAAAGTTTAATTTTATTAACCTTTTTTATATATAATTAAGGTTATCATTATCACTATTTTTTCTTTTTTTCATCTTTGTATTACATTTTATAAATTTACTAAATAAAAAAAATTCAATATATAATTTAAAATAAAATTCATTAAACTTGTTTTTAATTTTTTATTTATTTTTTTTTATTTTAGTAAGAAGAAAAATTAAAGATATTAATTTTTTAAAAAAAAAAATTAAAAAAAATTGGAAATTAATAATATTAGTTAAATTAAATTAATATTAACTAAATATAAGTTTCTTTTATATTAATTAAATTCAATTTAAATAAAAAAAAGTTTTCTATAGAATTAGAATATCTAATATAATTATTAGAGATCTTTTAATATAATTATATTAAAGAATTTTTAATAACTTGCATTAGGTTATAATAGTAATATTATTATTTACTTATAAGTATATTATTATTTATTTATAGATATAATATTATTTATTTATGAATATATTATTATCTACTTATTGTTTTTAGCATTTTATGATTTTTTTTTTATAATTAAGTTACTATATATTTATTTCTATTATTCTGTAATCTTTTATGATTAAATTATTATTTATATATTTTTATTATTCTATGATTTTTTTATATTTAAAAAACTAATCAATTTTTAGTATTCTGCATTCTTTTTATTGTTAAAATTAATATCAAGTGGCAATTAAATTTGGTTAACACTATTACTATAATTCTAACTAATTTTTAATATACAATAATTCTGTTTTTAGTAATTGATTTAATATAATTTAGGACTCGTTTAAAAAATATTATAAGTTTTTAATAATACTAAGATTTTATAAATCAGATATTTAAATACTAAGTTATTGTATTATAAATTCTGATAAAATTATAAAATAATGCTAATCAAAATAATTAATTTATTATATATTAAATATCTTGTTACTTATTTGTTATTTTTAAACAATTTTTATAGTTCAGTCTAATAAGTAAATATAATATATATTATTATATTCAACTTGTTTAGTTGCTAAAAAATATACTATTTTACAATTACCTATATGCTTATTAATTATTGATATAAGTATTCTGATTTTATATTTTAAAATTTAAAATATTAGAATGTATTTATATTATTACTAGTTGAAATCAAAAAAATCAGACATGTAAAAATTGACCTAAAATCAGCCTAAAATCAGCCTAAATTCGGCAAATTATCAAAAATCAGTCTAGCCAATTAGTATACATTAGAAATTAGTCAAAAATCAGCCAGAATTTAACCTATTTTATTTATAGCCGATTGGCATACTTATAGCCAATTAGTATATATCAAAATTTGACCTATCTTATTTATAACCAATTGACTTCTGATTGAAACAATAGAGTATTATCGTTCTTTAGAAATGATAGTATTATCATATCTAAGGTATGATAGTTTTATCATTCTTAAGAAATAATACATTTATCGTATTTTAAGTACAACGATTTATTGTTTCTAAGGTACAATGGTATTATTGTTCTTTAGAGACGATAGTTTTATCATTCCTTAGAGACAAAGGTATTATCATTTCTTAGAGATGATAGTATTATTGTACCTAAGGAATAATGGTATTATCATTCTTTAGGTATGACGATTTTATTGTACCTAAGAAATGATAGTATTATCGTTCTTTAGAGATGATAGTTTATCATTCCCTAGGAACAATAGTATTATTATATCTAAGGAATGATAGTTTTATCGTTTCTTAAAGACGATGGTATTATCGTATCTAATGAACGATAGTTTTATCATTTCTTAAATAAGATGCATTTATCGTTTCTAAGAAACGATGGTATTATCATTCCTTAGAGACGATGGTTTTATCATTCTCTAGGGATAATAGTATTATCATACCTAAGGAACGATAATTTTATCATTCCTAAGGAATGATGCATTTATCATTCCTTAGGGATAATTGTTTTATCGTTCCTTAGAAACAATGGTATTATCATATCTAAGAAATAATAGTATTATTATTCTTTAGGTATAACAATTTATCATACTTAAAAAACAATAATATTATCATTCCTTAGGTACGATTGTTTTATCATTCCTTAGGAATGATGGTATTATCATACCTAATGAATGATAGTTTTATCGTTCCTTAGGTAAGATGCATTTATTGTTCTAATGAATCAAACTTTTGCATTAAACTGATTTGCTAAAATAATATTGATTTAATGTACTATTTGAGTTTATTTCTAATATATAGGAATATTTATATAAATAAGCTTAATTTTTTAACTTTTTAAAAAATAATTTCAATTATTTCTAAATTTTCTCTTTTTACATTCTACTAAAATCCTGAAAAAAATCGTCCCAAGAACAAAAAGACCTAAGTTGAATTTTAATCAATTTTTGCCTTCAACTATCAAAATCAGACGAAGAAAAAGTTGTATTTTAGTCAACTTTTCAAAAATAAACTGATTTTTTTTACTTTTTATAATAGAAACATGCTTCAACCATCAAAATTAGACGAAAATTAAGTTGAATTTTAATCTAGAAACATGTTTCTAACTATCAAAATTGGATGAAACTTAAGTTGAATTTTTGTAATTTTTTACTTTTTATAATAGAAACATGTCTTCAACTATCAAATCAGATGAAAATTAAGTTAAATTTTTCTGATTTTTTTACTTTTTATAATAGAAACATACCTCCAACTATTAAATCAGATGAAAATTAAGTTGAATTTTAGTCAGTTTTCTGATTTTTTTTTACTTTTTATAATAAAAATGCCTCTAACCATTAAAATCAAACAAAACCTAAATTGAATTTTTGTGATTTTTTTACTTTTTATAATAGAAATATGCCTCTAACTATAAAAATCAGACGAAATTTAAGTTGAATTTTAATCAATTTTTCTGATTTTTTTTGCTTTTTATAATAAAAACATTCCTTCAACCATCAAAATCGAATGAAATTTAAGTTGAATTTTTGTGATTTTTCTGATTTTTTATTCTTTTTTTTCAAAAATGGCAATATTACTATAATGAATATTTAGGATGATTTAAGGAGATTTTAGAAGGGAAATGTATTATATTTTTATTATTTTACATAGTTTTTTCATTTTTTACTTTTATTTTTTTAGATAAGAAATTAATCAGTGGATTTTGATAATATATATGTTATATTTTTGCAAATTATATTAGGTTTTATTATTAATAAAATTATAATATTTAATAAATTTAATAAATTTAATATATCGATTTTATATTAATACCAAATTGAGGCTAATTTTAGGCTAATTTATAGTTATTTAAATTCTGAATCGATGCTAAATGATGCTGAATTGAGATTAATTTTAGGTTGATTTATGGTTATTTAAATTCTAAATTGATACTGAATGATACTGTATTGAGATCAATTTTAAGTCGATTTATGTTATTTAAATTTTGAATTAATGCTGAATAATGCTGAATTGAGATCAATTTTAGGCTGATTTATGGTTATTTAAGTTCCAAATTAATGCTGAATGATGCTATATTGAGGTCAATTTTAAGCTAATTTATATTATTTAAGTTTTGAATTAATACTGAATAATGTTAAATTAAGGTTAATTTTAGGTTGAATAGCTATGTCTAATTGGAGTCAATTAACACCTATCAGCGTCTGAATTGTTGCCAAATTGAGGTCAGTTTTAGGCTAATTTATGGTTGAATTTAAGTTCTGAATGGTCATGTCCAATTGGGATTGATCAGCATTTATCGGCACCTGTTTGTGCTAATCAGAAAATATAGCAAATTGGCTGTAAATAGTATTAAAATCAGCCTAAAATCAGCTATCTGATTTTTAGCCGATTTGGACTATTTCGACTAGTGACATTGAAGGTTAAATATTATATTTTATTGTTAAAAAATTGATCTTATATATGTGCTTACCTTTCTATTATATGATGTGGTATAGTATGCAAGCATTATTTTCAATTAATGTTAAATATAAGTTCAGTAATGTTTCATATTAAAATATTTCTTCATATTAGTATTGTAATAAGTAAAATAGAGCAAAAAAACCCTTTATAGTTATGAATAAATACTTTCAAAACCAATCTATTAAAATTACTACTAATTGTAAAGTTCTATATTTGTATCTTTTTAAACAAGAAGCAGATTTTAAAAAAGAAAATTTAATGATTCTTAAATAAAAAATAATATATGGAAATATTAGTAATATATACAAGAAACCACTTAATAAAGTATTACAAAGTAAGGAAAAATCTCAAGAATTAATGGAAATGTTTCAAGATTTTGTGAAAAATGATATTGATGATTGGTCAGATTTAGAAGATATGCAGTAGAATGATCACTTACACTGGTCTAATGATGCTAATTTAGGAATCATTAGGATATATGAATGATATCTGAATGATACCCTAATAATTTCTGAATTGGCATCATTACGAGTCATTTGGTAATTACTGAATTATATCTAATGATAGCCTAAATTCAGGTTCTATTCAGAAATCATCTAGGATGTAGTAAAAAGTTATCATTAGGTATACAATTAGACTACCAAATTGCATACTGAATTATAGCTTTTTATTTCTTTATTTATAAACTGAATAATATTAAATTACTAATTAGTATAATTCAATTGGATTACTAAATATTGGTAAAAATGTAATTTATGCTAATTTATTGAATTTTGTCAAATTATAAGTATATTTAATATAAATATTTAAATATAAACTAATTAATCCTATCTGAATCATATTTTGAATTTCCTTCTTGTTAACTACTATTATCATCATTATTTAATTCTTCTCAGATATTTGAATAATATTGATTGCAAGCATCATCAACACATTTCTTTAAATGACTATTATATCTGAAAAGAGTCTAATCAGAAACCCTAAACAGAGCATTATCAATGATATAATGTTCATTATCATAAATACAATTTCTTTGACGAGTGAATTTGGATGTTTCATTAAATGCCCTATTAATATAATCTTGTAAAAATTTATGAGTCTAAGAATAATTATTTAGTATTCTATATACATATATATAAAACAAATTAAAAATTAGAAATTACTGTTGAAGAACGCCAACTCATATTCTTAATGATAATTAATCTTTCATTATTTGGATGATTTGGGTCAGTTTTATTTCCTTCTTCTGAGTGGTATCGGTTATCATCAATAATTAGATGAAATTCATTTTTTGAAAATTTTTTAATTAGTTGATTTTTTTCTTGATGTAATTGATCAATTACTCTGGCTCATCGCAACCTTTTTTATAAGTATATAAATATAATAAGTAATAATGAATATAAATATTATTGATGAGATATTTACTTCTCTAGCACAAGCATTTTTGTGCCTTCTTCTCGTCTGTCTGTCTTGTTCTTCTGAACTTTTTAATCCTAATAAATACGATTCTCTTTGATATTGATATCGTTTATGAACAATATCATATATAATATTGTCATTAACAGAAAATCTTTGACAGTTAATACTCGCTTATATAGTTTGGATAATTGTACGATTTACTAGATTTTGTTGAGATTTAAATGTAAGTTTTACATTTAATTTGGAATCATTTAGCATGTTTTCGATAATTCTAAATATTTTTCTCTAAACTATTTAATTTATGTCAATTAGTGATTAATATTGAAAATAAGAATATAATAGAAAAATAATACTTACTCTTAATGCTGTTAAGAGGTTTTTGTCTATGTCCAAAGTATCTATATAATTGGGTATTTTTGGGTGATAATATTTTTTATGTTTTTTTTTTTTATATTTATGATATTTGTCTTTTTATACATTTATTTTTTTATCTGAAATATCAGAATCAAAAGAAATTACATTATTAATAATTTTATTAGCTCTATAGTATGATTCATTATCAATAATTTCACCAGTTTTGAAGTATAATTGATGTGAATATTTGTTAATAGATTATTATCATAGCTGAAACCCTTTTGGATGTTGGATAGACCAGTCACATTATAATCAGAACCTTTGGTATTTGACAGACTAGCTATATTATATTTAGAAGTTCTTTTATAATCTGATTTGACACTCATATTAATAAATCTTCCTTTTCGTTTATTAACAATTCATTTGGATACAATTTTCACATCTTCTCTTATTTAATAGATTCAATCATTTCTTTAAGGTAGTCAACTTGTAAATTAATAACAGCTTATTCTAAAATAAAGGTGAAGTGTAGTTCTTTGTATTTATTATTTGTAAGCATTATATACCAACTAATATTTGATTCATTATCATATCTGATTTATCATCAACTCTTCTTCTTGATTCTTCTTTGTATTTTTTTTCTGAATTATCTTTACGAATAATATCTGATTCATCACAATTTCTCATTCTCAATAAATCTTCATATTCTTTTTCTAAATCATTATCACAATTTCTTCTTGAATCATCACGATTAACATTTGGTTTATCTTAATACTTTCTTGATCTATCGTTATAATTTTTTCTATATTTTTTTGGATATTTTTTATATTGAGTCATTTTCAATAATGAAAACTCTAATGATTCTGATGAAGAACTATCATATATACAGAAAATATCAAAATATGTATTTAAATTATTTATAAATAAATATAATTGTAAATCAATTATTAATGATGCCATTACTAATATTTATTCTTATATTTTTCATGAAAACAAGAACGTGATCAGCCTCTTCTTCATGAAAGAGATTGTTGACCTAAATATTTGTTTTGAGAATGATGTGTACGTATCATAGTATATTAAAACATTGAGAATATGTTTATTTAAAGTTGTATTTTATCAAGAAAAGAATGATGTAAATAAAAAAAATCCAAAGATTGTTCTTTTATATTTATCAGCAAATCAACTTAAATACAAATAGTTTATGATGAGTTTATTTAATCAATGTAATACTGATTAAAGTATAAATATATTATCAAATAATATAGAGATTTTATTTTAATCAATAAAATACTTTAATTAATTGATATAAATATTTGTTGATTGATATACTATAACGATATCAATAAAATATCAAGAAATCAATATACTGATTAACATCAAATGTTATTTATTATGCAAATATATAAATTCTCTCTTAGATACATCTAACGAGAAATTCTAATACAAAGAAATTAACTATTTAAATGCCTAAAAATATAATACGGAGTTTTAATAAAAAATAAACTAAAAGGTATAAGCAGAAAAAATTAAAGATATCTAATTCTACAACTAGAAAACTGGTTGTTTGTTATTTTGATTAATGTAATGGTAAAGAAATTAATCTAAGAACGAGAAAAAAATATAATAACCTGAAGAACAGCTTGAAACCCATTCTTATACATCAAAACAAACTGCCAATAAAATGCATGAAATTTTGAATATTTCTAGAAAAAACTCTAAACTAATTATAATTATCTTCCAGTTCAATAAGCTCATCTGACGATAATAAAGAAGTAAATTGGAAATTGAAGAAACAAGAACCTAGAAAAAAATATGATCAGTTTCAACATACAGATATTATTAACATAAATCAAGAAGAAGAATAAACCCAATCATCCAATTCATTAAGTGAAGAAGAATGATTTCAATCAGCTAATAATAAATACCTACATAAAGAAGAAGAAGAATTAAGCAACAAGGATAATAGAAATCTTTTTGAACAATTTTTCGCTTCTGATTTAAATGATATAGATATTAATTTGAATTCTGAATCTACTAATTTTGACGATTTATGGATTTTACTTTGGATCTTTAAATACCAAGAAAGGTTTCGTTTTCCAGATGTAGCAATAAATTCATTAATCCAGTTTTTTCAGCTTATTTTATTAGATGTTGATTTGAGACGATTTAAAAAATTTTCTTCATCAGTATATGTAGCAAAAAAACTGCTTAGAATTGGAAAAAAGACAAAAATATTTACAGTATGTCCCAACTGCAATAAATTGCATAATGCATATAATAGTAAATCTGAATTTAAGTGTGATTATATTGAATTTCTAACTCACTCAAAGCAAAATTATCGTAAAGCTTGTGAAACTAAAATAATGAAATAGATTCTGATTGTACAAGGATATATCTGGAGTTTAAATTAATATTTTCTTTGCCTAACTTGAAGAACCAATTGACTACTATATTTCAACGCCTAGATTTTGAACAACAACTTCTAAAATAGATAAATCAGGATATGAGAAATGGATTAATGTCTGATATATATGAAAGAAGAATTTGGAAAACATTTTCCTCTTCTCTTGAGAATCTGAATTCCTGATTTTTTACACCAGAAACTGAAGATTCTCATTTAAGAATAATGATAAATCTTGATTAGTTTTAACCTTTCAAATCTTCTATATATAGTACTGGTGTAATTTATGGAGTTATTTGTAACCTTTTACATGAAATAAGATTTAAAAAAGAGAACATGTTAACTCTTGAAATATTGCCAGGACCTCAAAAGTTAAAAAGCATTAAATTAATCATTTTCTTGCTCCAATCATCAATGAATTATTGGAATTGTAGAATAGATATAATTTACCAGTTTTATCCAAATTTTCAAATAGAAAAAGGATACAATTAACAGTCATTTGCTACTCGAATAATATTCTCTTTACTCAAAAATTATGTGGATATATATCAGCTATTGCAACATGTTATAGGTATTATAAACGGGCAAATAGTGATGATAATAGTAAAAGGCAAATTATGGCGGATTTGACGATATATTAAGCTGATTTATAACAAGAGACCTAAATGAACATTAACAAAATACTACAGCTTGGTTGTATTATCAAATAGAAAAAGAAAGAGATCATCATGAATCAATCACTTTAGCCAGGTGGTCTGAAATATTACGCTTATCTTACTATGATTCTATTAAACATCTAATAGTTAATCTCATGCATTGCTTATTCCTCGGTATTGCTCAGTAGATAATAAAGAGATTATAGATATACAATGATAAAATTATAAACCAACAACTTGAAGAAATAGAAAAGAGAGCAAATAATATAAAATTACCATTTGATTTTAGAAGAATTCCAAATAAAATCGCTACTGATAAAGGCTTTCAGAATTTATAGCAGACTAATAGAAAAACTTTATTCTTATATATGCCAGGCTATTAATTTGAAATATTCTTGGAGATTTTGATTAGGAGATATTAGGTAATTTTGTTAGGGCTTGCTTCTTACTAGTCTTGTACATTATTGATAATAATGTATTAAAGGAGGCATATTCTTGATTATTAAAAGTCGCTATTTTAATCGAAAGACATTATAGGCTAGAATTTATAATGCCAAATATCCACTTATCACTTTATATTACTGACTGTTATCTCAATTATAATTTACTTTATTCATTCTGGTGTTATTCATTTGAACGAATGAATGGAGTATTGGATAAGTGATTTTAATAATTATTTTAATTATTTTCAAAAATAAAATTTTATTTAATTTATTTATATTATTAATAGGATCTTTACTTAATAGTAAATATAATATTGAGCTAGAATTATTATGTATTATAATACAAAATTGGCAATTAGATAATCTAATTTCTCAACAAATAAAAAATTAAAAACTGAAAAAAGGATTGGATTTGATTCGATCTTAACCAACTGTTAAAAGTTTGGTAGCATATGACAGATTTGAAATTAATGAATTAATTTGATTCGATCTTAACCAACTGTTGAAAGTTTGGCAGTATACAATGGATTTAAAATTGATGAATTGTCTCGATTTTTAGATATTTATCATCTTAATATTAATAATACTATAACTGGTAACGAGTCATTTCCTAAAGTAATGTTTGCCTCAAAAAAGTCTGAAGTAAACCTACCAAATGATATTTACAAGCTATTCGTAGAATATTATAACAATGTATATGAAATGACATTTGTATCAGTTACTGATTTGGTTGAAAGTAAAACATTTAAAAATGAAATATCTAATTAACTAATTGTTGTTATGCCTAATGTAAATCAATTTGGTCGTATTTAAATTAGTATAAAAGTATTTAGATTAACTTTAGTATTCCGATTCACAAAAAATTCACAAATTCTTGCAAAATTCGTTTATAGTAATAATATTATAGAAACATTTTCTGATCAAGTTCAATTTTATTTTGAACACAAAATTGATTTTTCAGATAGGACTAAAAGTTATTATTTAGCCTTTGTTAGATGGTTTTTACCAGTAGATCATCAGAAAATTAGGTTTTATTGTCGAATTGAAAATAATAATGATCGTAACTGTAATATTGAACTTTGGAAGAATAATTTTTATGAAATCAGTAGAGATAGTATAATTTCTATTCACAATATATATTGCTGATTTGTTAGCAGTAATTTTGTAGTAGGAGTAAAGTAACCTATTAAATACATGGCGGTCATTCCTATTAATAAATATTTTTATCTATAAAGTTATTTTTTTAATATATAATAGCAAAAATAATAAATAGATAACAATCTGTTAATAATTCTATATCAATCGGGTAAATAATTGATTGATTTCTGATTTGTAATATATGCTTATTAACAACTAATCAATTTGAATAATCAAACAGTTATAAATCAGCATATATTCTAAATGATCGACATTCTACTTGTGTTGGATAAAAAGAATATTGATCCATTTATTTATCAATTGCAAAATCTGAAAGTTCATTATGGTAAAGGTCGTCCAGTTAGTACTAAAAAGTATAAATTAGAATATGAAGTGTTAAAAGTCAAGACAAATCAACGACGATGTAAAAAATGTAAAGATATTAGGCATTATCAAAGAACTGCAAGAAGGGTTAGAAGGATTAATTTCGATTCATATAAATTGCATTTATTATAATTAAATAATAAAGTCAAAGTCATATGATTATTGATCACGTGATATTATAATTAATAAATCTAAGTCACATAATTTACTATCACGTAATATTTAGAGTCTAGCGTTATATCATCATAGCGATATTTTATATAACTCATTTTTAAATATCAAAAAGTAATATTATATTTTATTATATTGATTAAGTACATTTTAAAATTTTTATGCTACTTGCTTAATATTTTTTTACCATTTAATTTTCACTACGCCTAATTTTTCAAGTATATTTTAAAATGTTATATTGCTTATTTAATATTTTTTATCATTCAATTTTCACTATGTCTAATTTTTATAATTATTCATCAGACAAATTTTTTATAAAATTAACAGTAATTTTTTCTTCAAGAAAAGTATTTACAAATTTAGAATAAACATTATCACAATTATATTTTTGATCTAAACTATTAAAAAATTTACTAATTAAAGGTAGATTACAATTTGGTGATGGTATTAATTGAAAATTTGTATTATTAAAAATATGTGATGTTGATTACTCTTAAAGAGAAGGATTTGATAAAATTGTGGTAGTAATTGAATAATAATAGGTGTAATAGTAGATATAAAAGATGTTTGTACTTGAAAATTATTTTTATTAGCAGACACATCTAATTTCATATCAAATATTAAAAAAGATGAAGGAATTTTGTAGGTAGTAATATTATTAATCTAAATATAATTAAGAGTTAAAATTATTTTTTTATTTAAATTTATAAATATAATATTTAAAAATAATAAACATACTATTTTGCAAGCTCAAAGTTATAATCTAACAGATTTGAGCTGTAAATGTTGATTATTTTGAACAAAATATAGGTTATATATATATTGCATTTATATTTTTTATATAAAATGATAATAATTTTAGATTTTTTTTTCTTTTTTTGATAAATCCTCTTTCTTAAATCATGAGATTTTTTCTTTTAGACTTTATTTCTTCAACAGATAATTCATCATCATCAGAATTCTAAAAAAAAAATTTAAATATTAAAATCTCACTTATTATATTTTATAATAATAAAAAAAAATTACCTCTTGATATTTATTAACTAAATTTTTTTCTTTATTATATTATTTTTTATAATTATTATCACTACCATTTTTTTGTCAGCTAAAATTACCTTTTTATATTCATTAATAAATTCTTGAAAATTTAATTCATATTCAATTTCATTTGAAGGTCTGCATGTCTTATATGATACAATATAATCTTTTGATGCAATTTTCTTTTTCAAAATTTTTTGAACTGTTAGGCTTATTTTTTTTACAAATTTTTCATAATTAGCAGGTCAAATAGTCAAAGATTTTATATTTTTATTTTGAACAATTAGTTGTATTTTTACTTCTTCAATAATGTCTTTTTTAATACTATCTTCATCATTATCAACATTATCTTCATCATTACCAATATTATTTTTATTATTGTAACAGGATTGGATTGGCGAACGTGGCGCAGCATATTGCAGATCTAAATGTCAAACATATTTGATATATTTGATATACCGGACATATTTGATATGTTTGATATACCAAACATATTTGATATAATTGATATCTTAGACATATTGGACATATAAGATATATTTAATTTATTTGTTATATCCATCTATGTATTAATTTATTATAAATAGAGAGCAATAAAATCATGTAAAACAGTAGTTCGCTTTTAGTTTTCCTTTTAGTTTTCCTTTAGTCTTCCTTTAGATACGCATCTAGTAGTTCTTGTAGAGGCGCCTAGCCTAACATTCCACTTAGTATTTTAACTCTTTGATTTCTTTTCATATTACTTTTTATTTTCTTATCTTTCTATCATTATCTCATATCTTTATTATTATTATTTTTATTAATAAACATATCATTATACCTCTGAATCAATCGAGTCGCTTTGCTTTTAGTCTTATCGTGAATATACTACTGTGAAAACTATAAATCTGGAGATAAATTGAATTGAGCCACTACGTAAACTTAAAAGAATTACCACTCGAACACCCCGTCTAACTGTCGCAATTCGCAAGGATTGCACGTTAACATTATCAATATTATCTTTATTATCTTCAATATTACCTTTATCATCTTCGATATTATCTTTAACTTTTTTAATATTATTTTTATCTTTCAATATAATTTTCTCTCTATCAATGCTATTTTCATAAATGCTATCAACATTAGTATTATTACCATTAATACTACCTTCTTCTTTAATACTATCCCTTTTAACAGTATTTTCTTCTTCTAAAGACAAATTATTTTTAATACCTGATCTTTTTGAAAAATCTAATTTATCATTATTCTTGTTTATTTGAATTTTCTTGTCTTTGCTTCTTAACTGTTGAAATTTAAAAAAGTATAAGTAAATACTTTTTTAAAATCATTATTATATTTAAACCTATTATTAATAGCAAGTAAAAACAAATTAGCTGAAAGTAAAGGTTTACTTAGAGTGAAAGCATGATAATAAATTTGTTGTTTAGACTTTGAATTACTAATTTTTAATAGTTTCTTATTTTTATTACATTTACACAAACATTTTTGTAAAGATTTAAAATAATATAAGTATTTTTGATAGATATAACAAATACCTGAAGATATTTACTAGTGTCTGTTATTGGAAAAATGTTTAAAAATGCAAATGACCTTTAACTTTTTTGTGAACATGTATTTTTATTTGTTTATTATTAAATTAAGACTAGTTAAACATAAAATACGTAAGTTTTTAATATTTTCAGTGTTTTCAGTATTTTTGATTTTATTATAAATGATCAACAAATCATCTGATCATATTAATTTGAAAACTACTATAAAAAATAAACTTTAAAAATTTAAAGTAAATTATTTACTTCAAAATTAATTAAATTGAAATTTAAAATTTAATAAAATTAAATTTATTTTGAAATATAATTATATTAATTTTAAAGAATCATAAATTTTAAATAAATAAAATCTAAAAAATAAAATAAATAATATAAAAAAAATTAAAAAAATTTTAAATAAAATATTAAAAAATATATATATTTATATTACAACTTACTTATATTAGATTATTACTTATATTGCTCTCCCCTTTAGCTATGAAAAAACAGTTGATGGTATCTTTATTTCCCCTACCCCTAAATATTTTTAATGATTGATAATTCACAGAATTTTAAACGGGTTAGCCCCAGTGACCCGATATTAAACAAAAAAATAATAAATACTAATAATACCCATAATTTATTTTCGACCAATAATACCTTATCCTCTCAGCTCAACATTGCGACACACAATGTTCACTCTTTCATTCAACCACAAAAACAACAATTTTTGCTCAATACTTACAATATTAATTACTTAGATATAATAGGTCTTCAAGAGATAAACTTTAAATCAACCAACAATACAGCATCATTTTCTAAATCAACTTCATCACAATACTCGCATTTTTTTAATTTTGATCAACAAGCACAGAATTCAGATTTCAGAGTTGGTCTTCTTATCAAAAAAAATATTGCTGATCATATTTATAAACATTACAGACAACATGAACGTTATATTTTCGTCGATTTTTAATTTCGCAACAAATTTCGCATAAGATTGATTAATTGCTACATTTCAAGCTCAAACACAGTCCTTCGAAAACAAACATACAAAGATATATGTAACGTTATTAAATCAGAGAAAGACCTCAATATGGAAATCATCTTACTAGGAGACCTAAATGCAGTTCCAGACCGTTTTAATAATATGTCAAAAGCCAATCAATTCTTCATCCAATTAGAAGACCTCCAACTCTTTAATTCTTTTGATCTTTTACACGATAACGCTAATCAACTATTTCCATCATTTTTTCACATTGCACACCATCAACCCTTAAGAATTGATCATATTTACACTTCATCACATATTGCTGCAGGCCTTAACAAAACCCAAACCATTGATGTTGATCCTAACATTTCTGACCATTCGATAGTCTCTATTAATGTGAATATAGCTGAACTTACCTCTTCAAACAATGACCAAAAATGCACAAAAAAGAAGATCTACCTTTATGATGACATGGATGATAACTCTTGAACACAATTTGGTAAAAAAATGGATGGTTATTTCAGAAGCTGTCAACTATCCAACCTCTCTCCCAACAGATTATACTTAAAACATGCCCTCAACTTCTTTTGGGATCTAATGCAAGGATGTATTGAAAAAGCAGCTGAAAAATGCATCCCATCCAGATACTCATCCCAATACTCCTGTGACCTTAGACTAAGATTATTAAAGAATCTCTATAAACAATTGATTTTACTACAAAAATTCCTACGTACAACAAAAAAATGCATTTGCCTTAATTCCATATCAGCAAACTGGCCCCGAACATATAACATAATTTTTGATATCACGTTAAAATATAATTTAAACTGGATGAATATCGACATCCCACAAATTACTGACCTCATCGCTATTAAACAAAATATTGCTGATCTACTCAAAATCCATTTGCTAGTGATCAAACTAGAAGAAGACAAACATAAAACCAAACAAATCAAAGCAGCTCTCCAACGCAGATGTGATAATTTTCATGATGATCAAGCTAAGATGTATGATTCCATCCTTAATAGACAAAGACAAACAATTGTTCTGGACAGATGCCTTGATAACTCATTTGATGATCTTGGGTTACTTACCTCAGCTGATGATGTCAAACGTGAAATTAATCGACACTTTCAACAAACAACTGGTACTAGACACCACTTCGTCCCTTTACCTAATCACTGAAAAAAATAGTACGAGCCCATTGACACAATTGATCCTCAGATCTACGATAACCTTATGGATCCACTGAGTGAAGACGAATAGAACTGACTCCTTCAGACACTACCTAATGATAAAGCTCCCAGCCCCTCTAAAATTTCAAATGAGATGTTAAAGCATTTAAGCCCCAAAATGAAACATATTTTTTGGATCTTCGCTTGTGCCTGTATAAAACTTTTCTGCATACCTGATAGATGGAATCTCGCTTTTGTCTATTCCATCCCAAAACCCAAACCATGAGAATATAACTTAAATAATACCTGCCCTATCACTTTATTAAAATGCCCTCAGAAAGCAATTGT